AGTTTTGTCATTTCCAACCAAGATGGCATCACTGCGAGAGCTGCAAGATCTCGTGAGCTGCAGGACTGTTCTTTTTTTTAACATCTACATGTGTGGCTCTAACTGATCTTGATGTGTAATATTCATGGAATGCACCTTTTAAGCATTTCCATGTCCGAACGCGCTCTGTTTGTTTTGCACGGATCTGTTTTTCTGTTTACATTCTACAAAAAAAAAAAAGGAAAAACCTCCAGCATCATAATGTAATCATTTCCCCCTCTCTTTTTCTTTTTTTTTTCTTTCGCTCAGGACCCTGCGTTGTCCCCTGGACCACGGTTTTGGCAGCCCGGCAGGCCTGACAGAGCTGCTGCGTGACTGCAGCTTCCAGCCGAGGAGGCCCACCATCCAAGAATTTAGTTGACTCGAGCGCTCGGCAAAACAACAGATTTCTTGCTGTCATGCACGGTGCAGCTGTAGTGCTCCCTGATTTACCAAGAGGACCTGAAAATGTTTGGAGGAAGCTGTGGGAAGTCGAGTCAGGCCAGATGTCTGCGCCCGGCCAAGATCGCCGTGGCTGCATCCCAGCTTCCCCTCATGCTAACTACCCTCCCTTGCTTATCTCTGCTTCTCATATTTGGTGAACTCATTCACCTGCGTCGTCGTTTAACTTTCCTCCGCTTCGTCACAAGTGGAGGGTAAAGAGTGCAAACGACACCGGGATCAATTTGAAATCACCAAGGAGGGGGTGGGGCGCCTCTCTCTTGGGGCTCAAAATTCCTTCCTACACCCCTGCAGAGAATATATTAACCGCTCGAGCAAGGACATCGATTCTTGTCCACCTGCGTTAGCCGCCCCTACCTCGACACGTTGCGGTGAACGTTTTAGGATCGGCCTCGATTGCTTATTTCCTCCCAAAACATAAAACTTTGTGACATAAATTCATAGCATGCAATCATTATGAGTAATGGATTTTTTAAGGCTGACTTTCTGGGATCATTAATTTCACCGTACCAGTGCCAAAAAACAAAAAAAAAGAGGGGGGATTCAGTGTTTCCTCGCTAGAAGTTGATGCCTGGGAAAATGCAGGAAGAAAACTGTATTTAGATCACCACGAGAGAAGAAGGAAAAAAAAGGCTAACTGTAAAGGAGTTAACATTTACAGAAAATACAATAGTTACCACATGGAGAAAGATAATAAAAATTTGAAATGCATGGCTTAATATGGGCATGTGAGAGTGAGGAAAATGGTCCCAGATGCCATATCAGAGCCATAAAATCGAATTAATGATGTACAGTATACTTCGCCGTTAATGTTTTATGTGCCTCCCTTTTCTTTGCTTCCATGTTTCTTATAGGTAAGGAAAAAAAATGCCCGTTTAAACCCGCTCCCCTCTACAGAGCAGGTATTTTCGGAATAATTTTTTTCCCCTCCTCCTTTGAATCCAAACTTTCTTGCTGTCTTATATCATCAAATCCCCCGCAGCTGCAAAACATGAGTTGGTTAAACGTGGAAGCTTTGCGAGTTTTGCTCTCCGAGTAGCCTTTAATTCGTCGGGTTCGTCTGGATTTGTGCGACGACGGCGACTTCTGAGGATGCTGGAGTGCCGTTAAACTCGTGTTGGAGTTGTTACACAGATTTTTTTTACTCCCTAAAGGAAGCAAATTGTTCTGATTTCTTACTATGCATTGACACAGAAATGCCAGTTAAGGATATAAAGCTAAACCTCCATCCTAAGATCAATCTTGGATGCTACTTTCATCTACAGAGGTCAGCTAAGTTGGTGAAAAACAGCCCAAATAGCGCTTAACAGCACAACGTCGTGGCACAAATGGAATCACTAGCTGTAGCCGATTAGCGACCGTGAACTGATTTCTTTATTCGTCCGTCTCCTGCACCTGCCTCCGACCTTTGACCTTCCTCTGCAGCAAGAACGAAAGTGAGAAAAAAGAAAAAAAGGAGTCGACCGCAACACATGTTTACTGCGTGACTCACGGGAGCGACATTAAAACCAGGCGGCCTGAAGACACGAGTGACTGGTCGCCAGTCGTTTGTGTATAAACACATGGTGGAGGTGGAGGTGGGAGGGGTGCAACATATGCACAGCACCGGCGGCTAAAGAAATATTTACGCTTGCGGAATTGGTTAGCAGAACTTTTCACACAGCTCGAATGGCTCAGGAGGAGGGCGGGACTGGCAGTTTGGGCTGCAGTGGCCAAAAAGAACACTGTGTAAAAAAAAGAGGCAAACAAAAGGTGGCGAGAACGGAGAGCTTCTTCTGCAGCGTGAAGCAGAAATGTGCAGGGCTGAGATGGCCCCCATCACTCTGAAGTGGTTTTATTTGACTCTCTCGTCACGTCAGAGCATCTGGAAAGTCTGACCTCGTGTGTGAACAGCTTTCACTTTGTCCATCAGGTTCAGACGAGGTCGCAGCAAACCCACTGCTTTACGGTAAAGTGTCGCCTGCAAGAGAACCAGCAGCAGGTTCCACTGAAGGCAGACGGGTAGAAATGCTGAGTGTCAAAGCCCTGATTGTCTGCAACAAGCACCAGGAGAGAAATTCAGCAAATGCTCCAGTGAAGATGAGCGATGCATGGATATAAGACTCGTCTGTGAAGGTTGTCAGACATCCAGGTCAGGGTTGTTCTAATCGTAGCAACTGGACTTCATGAAGATGTGTCACCTCAGTTCATACACACAGACAATACTCCAAAGCAGGACTGTCTTTTGCCTTCGTCCCTATGAAGAAGTATCTCACGGCGTCCAATCTAATCGATGAAAACAGATTTCACAGCTTGTTTACCAGAGTGAAAAGATCCTTTCTTTTGCAGATCTTATCTCTGTATGACCAGCATACAGCAAGTGGGTTAACCTCATCGTCTCAAGCTCTGAAATAAGTGTTGCTTTGTTCCTGTTTTGGATTGTTAGGATTCTCTACATTGAGAATATAGATGATATTCCACACTAGGACTGTCATGGTAACAGATTTCCATGAACAAAAGAGTTCACAGTAATGATGTTCTCACAATATTTAGAGAGAATTTGGAGTTTAAAACAACAACAACAAAAAGGCTAGAATTTGAATTTGTCCGTAATTAAATTTTTTTTAGTCAAGCTAATCTGTAAAAATGATGCACATCTTTCTTTTGGAACTTTTTTTTAAAGAAAGAAAGAAAAAACAAACTGTTAAAAAAAATAACAGAATTTTTCATACTTAAAATATAGTTTCTAACCTTAATTTGACATTAAATCATGTTTTTTTTTTCATTTTAATAGACAGTGAAGGATATTTACATGTGTAAAAATAATGGAATTACATATGTATTATTATTATATAGAATTATATTGATAGAATGATAAAGAGCATATATGATTAAAAAAATATTCTGACAGATTATAATTTATCTAATTTTAGAAATATATTTACAACATTAAAATGAATATATTTCATCTATGAAATAAAAAGGAAATATTTGTGAAATTAAGATACATTTATTAATGCATTTAACAGCCTTTTTATGTCAATTTTCTATTAAAAATATTCAGAAATTAATATAAATAAATATAAATACAATCATACATTATTTTTTCTATTTTAAAAAATTTTGTAAAACTTTTATTTATTTATTTATTTATTTTTTAACAGTCTAGCATAAATAACTGTTCAGGTAAATAGTTCATGTTGATCTAATAAAAATAAAAATAATAAAATTAAGTCTGTGGCCTGCATGATAAAGACTTAAAAGTTCAATCCTTTAGTTGATCAACGCAGCAACTGAAGAGCAGAACAATATTTAATCTGACCAAATATTTAAAACGAACACAAACTCTAAAAACGAACTCCAGCAACACGTCAGATTATTTTGGTTTTTGTCTTTAAAACGTCCCACGGCAGCTCAGTCTCAGGATTCAAGGACGGACTGACTGACACGACTGATTGTGTGTTTAGTCTCCCTTTGTTTTGGGTCGTGTGACCGCATCTGGATCATTAACACCATTACAATATTAATATTCTCATCATTGCCCTTGTTAACTTGTCACCAGCGTTGCCCTCCTTTACTCTAAAGTGGAGCGCTGACACCGTTATCTTCAGGATGCCTGGCGGAGAAAAGCCCAGATCTCCTGTCAGACGTGTTCACGGCGACGAGTCTCACCAGGTTCAGGTCAAACATTTCAGGTCAAGCTTCAGTTCTCCTGCAAACTCCGAGCAGAGCGTTATCAGAGCAACAGATCAAGCAGATGACACGCTAAGTAGCAGGATTAAAATGTCAGATCTCTGGAGACTGAATAGGGGGTCAGAGGTCAGGAGAACTAATTAGGCTGTTTTTGTTACACTGCAAAAAAAAAAAAAGGTAGAAATCGGTACCATGGCAGCAGCTTGGGTTCTAAAAAACAAACAAAAACACATCTGTTTCACAGTTAAAATATTTTTTCTAGCCTTAATTTTACATGCAGCCATTTGTTTTTTAAATTTTTTGATTTTTACTGACATGTAAAAACAGTGTAATTACCTGCAACACAACTAATGTCTATATACTGGCTGTAATCCCTTTTGTGAATATATTTAATGTATTAAACTTTAATTTAACAGTTACATCTATTTTAAAAAAAGGTAAATATTTGTGCACTTATGCTAAATTTGGGAATGTATTGTATCTTTTTATTTAGAAAAAAAAGTACATTTGCTCTAAAAAGTTGGACATTTCTTGGTTTCATGAATTAACAATCTATTTTTCAAATTTTATTGATATTTTTGAGTATTTAAAAAATGTAGAAAAATGCCTGTAAAATAAAACATTATTTTTTAAATTATTTTTTAATTTAATTACTTTTTTTACAGTGTACTCATTGATAAAACTGTTTCTGTTAAATGTTTCAAATTTTACTGATATTTTTGAGTATTTAAAAAATGTAGAAAAATGCCTGTAAAATAAAACATTATTTTTTAAATTATTTTTTAATTTAATTTGTTTTTTAAAAAAAAATTTTTTTTGCAGTGTACTCATTGTTAAAACAGTTTTTGTTAAATTTCTGGCAGCAGCTCATTTTTATTTATCGTGACGGCATCAATAATAAATTACAGATCTTGTTACCAACACATATTTTCATAAAATTATCAAAAGTAAACTAGCAAAAGAACAAGTTAAATAACAGAAAACTGACATTTTCGGTCGATAACTTCAACCATTTTCAACAGGTTGTTGAATTCTTGCGATACTCTGGGACATCCGAAGCCCCGGCTGTAGAAGGGTGTCGAAAGCTTCCCGAAAAAAAACGAACTCACAAATCAACACTTTGCTTTTATCCTCAATCATCCACATCAGTACATTCATATAAAAATAAAAGAGACGTTTTGCATCAACCCATTATGAAAAAAAGTTAAAGAAATAAATTAATCGGTTAATTAGCAGTTTTCTTTTTGCATCTGTACATGCTGATATGTCACATCACAGTGGCTGCATATACGACGCACACACACACCGACACATGAAGGAAATAAACATTTAGTGGGTAACATATTGACCTTATTGAATGACGACGGGAGCTGATTTTTTTTTTTTCCTTCTTCTCCCGTTTGGTTAATCTGAAAATCAACAAGTAAAGAATTATTCTTTTATGCAGGTTTACAGAGAACTCTCTAATCGGGGGGTGAAATGTGTGAAGTCTCCCCCCCAGCGACGGCGTCTTGAGCCTCGGCTTTTCACCTCCGGCCTCGTGTCGAGCTCGTGATGCCACAACTTCGCTGGAAGGAAGGAAGGAGCGCCCGGCTAAATAAAGGGAGGGGGTGGACATATTTTAAGCTCTTCCCTTCTTAATGCTTCCAAAAAAAAAAAAAAATCTGCTCCGTGTTAGCTCGATGCTACACAGGATTGAAGAACGCTAAAAAAAATTCAATAGGAAAAGAAAGTACAAAAGAAACAAGGCACACTCCATTTCAGCCGCTCAGTGGGATGGTATCTGGAGGAGAAATTATGCAACCAGTGCTTTTACAGGCTTGTGTACCACATGAATGAGTGCAATCGTTTCCAAGTCCTTGGCTTAAAGCAACAAAGCGTAATGGGACCAGACTGAGAGCAGACGGTGGGGAGAGAAAATAAAGACGCTCAGTAAACTTCTCCCCCACACACAGTACCAACGCCGACTCGCAAAACACACAGAAGCACACGAGTCTGTGACGTTTCCTTCTTTTTTTTTCAGTGCGTTCCCTTCCCTTATGCTGCTTTGTCTCGCAGACTCGTGTGCAGTTTTACTCCGAACATGGCCTCCCACTGCGCTGTGACCCAGGCCAGCAGACCCTGGAGGAGCTCGCCGCCCTCCGAGCGCACACACCACGTCTTCTCCTGTTTCACAGTCTGGAGGAAGGAAAAAAAAAAGAAAAAAGACGAAAAACACAACATGAGAAAGTATGAAAATGAAAGTAGTTAATCAGGAGTGAGTTGAACTTGGCAGTGCTGGGATCTGGAGCAGGCAGAGAGCGAAGGAAAAGCAGCATCACACGTAGTTTTTTTTTTACTACGTACCGTGTAGTTAACCATATAAGGAGCGACTGCGTTCTGTGTTTGCGGCAATAAGTCAGCAAATGGTGTGGTTGTGGCACAATTAGAGGAATCTGTTAGCGTAGCCTGCTAATGAGTAATAACGCAGGACTGGAGTGAATCAGCTCTAAACACTTCCTGATGAATACCTGATTTTACAGCCCTGGTTTCATTCAGGAACTCGAGGCAGAAGAGGCAAAGGCGTGATGGGATAAAGATGGTGGGACGACACAAACACCAGTCTATCACAGGGCTACATAACCAAGCGCACTCCCACCTAAGGACAATTTAGAATCACCAATTAACCTCAGCATGTTTCTGGACTGTGTGGGAGGAAGAACCCGGAGAGAACCCACGCTGCACGGGGAGAACATGGAGACTAGAAAGATCCCGGGTGTCCTCACCGGGATGTGAACCGGTGACCTTCTTGCTGCGAGGCAACGGTGCTAACCACCGAGCCACCTCACAGCCCAAAGCCTGAAAACTCCAAATGTGAGACATCAAATTTAAGATTTTATACACTGTATTTGACAGCGAGATGGTTTCAAATCCAACTGCGAACATGTTGATTTGCTACTACGCCTGCTCTAGTTACTGTATCTCGTACAAATCACGTAACCCAACACCCTGACAACCTCAATACATCGTTTTTATTCAACATCTCTGCTCAAAGAGGACTGACGCTACACATATTGTCCCTTTACATACTGAAAAAACCAACATATTTTTTTTTTCCTTCCATATTTTCGTCTCTTTTATTTAAAAAAAACAGAGTAAGCTGTCGAACAATTGAAAGACCCACTTTGATTCTGTCCCATTATTCTTCCTCAGGATAGGTTTCTGGGTCAAACATGTGCGGCTGAAATACTTCAGTGTTCCAGCCTGTCCTTGTGTAGCGCAGAGTGGTTTCATAGTGTTTTGAGTTGTAGGTGAGGGCTGCAGGGTGGCTCGGTGGTTTGCACTTTGTGTTGCTTTCTTTCTGCGTGGGGTTTGCATGTTCTTCCCGTGCAGCGTGGGTTCTCTCCGGGTTCTTCCTCCCACAAGGTCCAAAAACATGTTGAGGTTAATTGGTGATTCTAAATTGTCCGTAGATGTGAGTGTGCTTGGTTGTCTGTCTCTAAGTGTAGCCCTGTGACAGACTGGTGACCTGTTCAGGGATAGACTCCAGCCCCTCCTCAACCCTAGTGAGGATTAAGTGGTGCATAGATTATGGATGGATGGATTTGTAGGTGAGCTGGTGTGCTCGAGCTGTAGCACAGGGGGGTGAGTGGAGAGATTAATGCAATGAGGGAATATTTGAAAGGATTATTTTAATATATAAAAAAAACCACTTCTAAATATGTCATCTTCATACACAGAGATTACTTTTTAGGGACTTTAATTTTCTGTGAAACAATTGTGAATCCAGCCATGAAGGGACGTTTTCCCGAAGCAGAAAAGATAATTACATCACTGCATGAATGTTCCTACGAGGTTATTATCTGCTGATGCTACGTGTCAACGCAATCTAAAGATGTCGCTGCATTTTCTTTAAACTAACCTGGTCACTAATTTGGTACAGTTACTGGCTAAATCCCAGTATCGCCTGAAGCACCTCAGACGCACACTCTTTAACCACATCGTTATTCTGGATGGCAGATATTTTTGACCAGGACATGTCGTTCATGAAGCATGTCTGTAGGACGGCCTTCTTTCATCTACGTGGTATCGTCAAAATCAGGAACATGCCGTCTCAGAGTGATGCTGAGAAACTGGTCCATGCGTTCTGGACTCCTTTTTATCAGAATGCCCCAATAATTCTCTTAGAAACCCTTAATTGTTGCCATGGTGATGCACATAGACGCAGCGCCCCCTTCAAGAGACGACGAAAGTCAACGTTTTGAGTGTCATTCTGCAAAACTTGTGGCCGGGAGACTTTGCTGGGCGTCAGGACAGTGAACGAAACAAAGAAGGAGGAAGAGAGCCAGGATTCATGCTAGGCTAAAGGCTAACCCCTCCAGACCAGCAGGACTGTTGATCCTGCTCTCCAACGTCCGCTCACTCGACAACAAGCTGGACGTTTGCTGAGAGAAACTCGCAGAGAGTGGAGGGACTGCTGAGTGTCTGCTTTAACAGAAATGTGGCTCCATGACGACATCCCAGATGGACAGACAGACAGCTCTGGGCAGCATCTGTGGCTTCACCATCGTCACACCCTCGTGTGTCCCTGAAGACCTACCAGAACCTGAAGAGGTTCGCCATGTTCAACGAATGGCGGCGTGCACGGACGCAGCGCCCCCTTCAGGAGGCAGCGAGAGTGAATGTTTAGTGTCTAATCCCAGACGTTCATTCTGCAAAACTTACTAATTAAATGATCCTGAAGAAACGCTCTCTCATCTTGCCTGTACTACTGTGTATGCACCGCGAAATGACGATAAACTTGATTTGATTTGATTTGCATGGAGGCTTTATCCAAAGAAAAACCAAACACGTGTCCGTACCTGTTCCTACAAACCACCTATCACATATCTAACAGAGCAACAGTGAGTTTTATCTGCGCTTCCCATCTGGAATGAAGGTGCTTCTTTTACAGTCAATGTGGCGTATTAATGAGCTAAGATTAGATCTGTGTGGAATCAAACACAAGAAGTAGTGGATGTTTTCCGCTGTGTGCGGCAGCTGGAGTTGTGTCTCCAGCAGAGGAAGCAGGAGCAACTCGAGTGACATCAAAAGCTTTTCCCTGTTTTTTTAGTTCCAGCCCTCCGAGGAAATGTTACTGACCTCATCGTAAAGCTTAATATCCATCCTGCACTCGTCGGAGGGCCACAGGAGAACGGAGCTCACACAGCTGATGGGGAGGGTTTCCAAAACGGCGACGCTCCCGCTGCACGGCTCCTTGCTTTCGTCCGGCGCGGGGCTGTTCTTCCTCCACTGGTGGTCCTCTTGAAGCAGGTAGAGGGTTTCTCGGGTCGCCAGGACAGTCAGCGGCGTCCAAATATCCTCTGAAGGGAGAATATTAGAGCAGAGTTGTTTAAATTGGTTTAACCTTAAAAGTTTTTACAAGCTGAAGGGGTTGGGCTTTTAACCTCTGATCTGGCTCCATTCTGGGTCACTGATGTTAAAAGCTTCACAGAGCACCTTTCATCTAGTTTTGGTTTCATGTCAGAAATCTTCTTAGCAACAAGGAAAAAAAAGGCAGATCGAGACACGCTAAAGTGACGGCACAAATTCCGCGTCCGTGCACAGCTGTGTGTAGCCTGCAGCTACCTTGGCTGGAAATACATCACAGGCATCCAGCAGCAGCAGCAGCAGCACAGCTACTAATCACACGCATGTCAATACAGTCACCTATCGCCCCCGCTGAGTCAAAACAGGAGATTTCCGTCTTATTTTATGGCAAAGATCGTTGGCGTACGTCGTTGACAGGCGCCTCACGTCAGCCGCTCCCCACAAATCACATCCTGCCGTCCACATTACCCACTTCCTGCTTTTATCTTGAGGAAAGTGCAGCCCAGCATCTTGATTTTTATTTATAAACTTCTAAGGATGCAACCAGTAGTTTTAGCTTCAATATCGTCGCGAGATGCGGTTTCTTTTTGCTGAAATGCTGACTGTGTGATTGCGTAAGCTAACAGATTTATCAGCATCATCGCCCCCATCGTTAAGGCATGAGTAGATCTGACTATAAATACGATTATGTAATCCATTAATGCTCTGAACCGCAAAACCTGCAGGCAGATTTGAAAAGCCAGAAAGCCACACAACTTCCCTTAAACTACTCATCTGCCGTGACTATAACTGAACCAAAAAATAGTCAAAAAATAAAAAAAACAACCCAAAAGTTCTGGCTCTGGGGTGCAACAAAAAATTCTGACATGTTTTTTTTTTCTCCTCCTCTTTCCCTTTTCTTTCAGCTGCAAGCCTGGTTGCAAAAGAAAGACCAAATATGGAAGCAAACCGGTAAGTCGACTTATTACAAATCTTGTAAGGTCAACAAGTGCGAGGCTTTAGTGCTTTATCAGTCTCTGTTTTAGGATTTTATAGCGATTCAAAGGCCGACAGAACAATGAAAAAGGCTTCGAAACATCTCTGTAAAGTCTCACGAGGAGGGGTGAGCAGCAATTTCCAACTGAACTGCTTCTGCATACGCGCCGAACATAACCTGCTTCTTGAGGCTCCTGCTTAAAGTGATATATAGAGAGGGTGGTATAGTTTCTACGTAATTAGCTTTAACGGCATCAATCACCGCGGCTTCAAACGTTTCCCTGCGTGTCGTGTCCTGAAACCTCCTCTCCTTGTCGAAAACGAGACTCGGAAAGAGCGCAGGTGAAAGCTGATTTATCTGCCGGCAAAGAAAGCCAATGCGGAGTTTCAAAACACGCGTTACCTCGCAGGACGAAAGCCAAAATGTAGAAGAACTGCGGCTGTCCGTCCTGCATGTCTGCCTGGATGTCTTCGCACACGAGAGGCCTGACGGATGAAAAAGGTGTTAGCATACATCAACACAAACACCTCAGCTGATGTTTAGTTAAAAGCATCGTCTAAATAAGATACCAGGCTGGCAGGTGCCTGGAAGGAAGCGCTCCAACATCAGGGGGTGAACTTCACAGCGAAGCAAAAGGGGGGATAATTGACATAATAGCAGCAGACAGGAATTGTATTGCGCAAATGCTGTTCTGAGAATGTGGTAAGCTGCAGATGAAGTTTTTTTTTTTTGTGGAGTCTGTTGCCTGAAAGATAAATTGAGATATTTGAGGCATTATCGTGTGTTTGTACCTTGATACGGCAATCTGCGCTTCACAAAGAGGCTGGCATGTGTCATTCAGCGTGCATTTCTTTCCACGCTAATTGGTATTTATTTAACTTCTGCTTGCTGGATCAAACAAACGTTGTCAGGTTGTCCAAACTGATTCAAAGACATATACAGTCTGCCTGCAGAGCTTGAAGCGTTTCATTATTCACAGCGTGTTTTCTTGCACATTTTGCAGGTTTATGAGACATTTTTGTACTTGTGGACCGCATTCCTTTCGAGTGAGAACCCAGAAGAAGCCGCTACCTTCTGTGTCGGAGAAGAAAAAAAAAAACACACAAACAAAAGGTGTAGAAAAACTACTGGTAGTGATAACAAACTACACAAGGCGACACGCATGTTTCAGGATTTGCAGGGCAACACATGGGACAAATTAAGATGTGGTTTACCAGCTAATTTAGTGGGGCCGTTTTACAAAATGAAGTCCAAAAAAAAAAAAAAGCTGATTGTAATCAAGTAAAGATGTGTCAGAAATGTGCAGCGTTAGAACTTCTATCGCCATAACTCGCTTTAACCTACACCGCCCCGACCACATACAAATGTGCACAACACTGTTCAGACCACATCTTTCAGCATCGACACAAATAAAATCAAAGATGTCTGCTGGTCTCTCACTGCATCCAGCGGGTTCTCCCTCAACAGAATCGGCTGCGCGGAGGCATACCAGAGGTGGTGCTGAGGGGTGAGCCTCGTCGTGGAGATGGACTTCAGCTTGCTGTCTGACTTGTGGGCCATCTCGCGTACGATTCCTGAAGAAATTAAAAAAAAAAACACAAAAAGCATTAAAATCAGTGAAGATTATGACATCCAGGCCACATTTTTTTGCAGGTACTTCTTCAGTTAACCAAGAAGCAATCAGACAATTAGTTGATTAAGAAACTTAAGCTCCTCCTATTTCTACTACGAGTACTGGTTGGTTATCTCAGCTTTATATAATGCAGTGGAGGTTAAAGTACAGTCTTGACTTGATAATCCGACACTAAATGTAAAACCTTCTTTTGTGTCGGATTGTCAAGACGGAGGGTCGAGATACGAGGAGGGCTTGATGCTGGAAGGCTCATTTGTTGTTAATATTACTTGTTCATAGTTGTTATAATAACTAGTGTATTGTTAGAACACTACGTATCGCTGGATTTCACACTTAATTGACCGGTGCGCTTGTGCACGTTCCGGCCACTTCCACCCCGTCAAAGTGCTCTCCCAGGGTGGAAGTGTCCAGAACACACAGGCAGTACTTGGCTGCTGATGCTAGTTTAGTTAGCTGTCACGTTCTGTTTCCACCATCGACGGTGGCGGAGGAGTGGAGGATACGCTCCACCGTTACCATCCATGTTTACTTCCATAAACACTGAGCATGCTCACTGCGTGTGACGTCGTCGTGTCCTCTTCTGCGCATGCGGGACACTTTTGGGTCGAATGAAGTTCACACAGCAGATCACATACAAGTCGTGTTTAACTGGAAACGTGAACGAACTCACAAAAAAATCGGATTTCACAAAAAAATCCGAATTGAGCATTAAGTCCTGCAGTCTGAATGTAGCCAATCTGTGGGATTGTTCAGTCAGATAATACGCCATTATCCTTATTTGTGACATAAAATGTCATGTCAGAGTCGGAATCCAAGGCTGTCGGTATGTTAAGGCTGTTTTTAATGGGTTCCGCTAGTTTTTCCTAAAAACATGTCGGATAGCAAGGTTTAGGATTGTTAAGGGTCAGATTATCGAGTCACGACTGTATTCAGATTCTGTACTGAAGTAAAAGCAGTAAAAGTAGTCTATGACAAATAAAAGTCCTGCAAAAGTGTTCACAGCAACATGTGTTCTAAATAATAAAATAAATGCTACATTATAATTTGTATTTATACTGAAGCGTCGGCAGCATGTTAGTGTTGGAGGTGCAGCTAGTTTGAACTACTTTAATTGAAGTTTTATACACATGAACAGTAGATAAATATGAGTTCTTATGAGATGATTAATGGGAAAAACTAAAAGGAAACACAAATTTGTTTCCAGATTTTGGACCTTTTCTCTAATGTCTGATTTTTAGCTATTGGGTCATTGGAACTGAAATGGAACCACCTGAGAGGAGTTTGGTGGAGCCATTAGAAGTCAAACAGGGTTGGAAAACACTGGTTTAATCTTTAAGTGTGTTGCATTTTAAAAGCTTGTTCTGCCATCCATCGTTTAAAATCTTTATTTCAAATGTAACTGAAGCTGTTAGATAAATGTAGGGGAGTAGAAAGTGCCATATTTCCTTCTGAAATGTATTAAAAATGGAACTATAAACGTATAAAAGTACAAGTACCTTCAAACTGTACTTGAGTAAACTGTTAAAGTTTTTGTTGGAGAAAATCTGAAGACGTCTGCTTGTATTCTGCTAAGTTTTGGTCGGTATTTTAAACTATTTCCTGCAACAAATAATGCACAAATGAATCATCGTAATGATCGCCATGTTAACTGATTTAAATGTTAATTAACAGCAGCTTAAGAAAAAAAAACAACCCAGAGTCCTATTTCTCCAGTGCAGACGATCCTTCAACAGTGTGCATCATCTATGACGCATTTTAGGCAAATATCTAACTAGCAAATATTCACCACTGACTCCAAAACCGAAAAATGTCAGGGAGGGGAAAGGATTAAGATCGTTCTCTGCCAAGCAAAATTGCATTAGATGACCACTGGAAATTAATGCAAATTACAAAGATTCCTTCTGAAAATTACACGTCCCACTTGAGCGGCGCTGCAGTTTTACAGCTTGTCGGGAGTCTGACCGGCTTTGTGCAACTGTTCAAACAGGAGACGTCAAACATCTCTCCGCACACTCTCGTGAGACATTTAGGACGGAGGTAAAGACTTTACGGTTGTGTGCATTTATCAGGGAGGCGCATGTGCGGGAGGGGAAAGCAAATAAAGTCAAAATTAACCGGCTGAATAATCTGAATTACGTCGACCGAGGGCAAGATCTTGTGAAAGACAAGGCGGCCTAAATAAGTCACACCCAGAGATTCGTGGAAAGAGGCCCCTCGGCACAAAAGCCAAAAAAATTCAATCCCGGACTTCTTCCGCTATTGTAACCGTAATAAGAAAAGCAAAAGGTCTCTGGTTGCAGGTGTAAGATTTCAGCGCCATTGATTCGGCGGGTGAGAAAATGTCGGGGGAACACAATCCGCTGGGTCACGCTCGCAGTCATGAATCGCGGCGTGTCACCGAGTGTGACAACAAAACAGGGCCGAGAGGATATCTGCGGTGCGGCTTCACGGCCCGGCCTGAATAGACGGGACTTCAAACGGGTTTTAAAGGGACACTGAGGAGGAGGAGGAGGAGAAGGAGGGGAAGAAAGGGGACAATAGTGGGTTTAACAGTGGAGGAAAATAAGACGGTGGCAAAAACAAGCAAGAAATTCTTATCAGTAGCATTTTTTTGCCAGAGTTAAATAAGACACTGTGAGAGAAGAAGTGGATCTGCAGGTGGGTAAACTGGCATTTCAGCACTTTTTCTTTTTTTTAAAGTGTCTGAAATCTATCTTTTGCTTCAGGTTTCTAGGATAGATCTACAGATATATGTCTTAGTGATTAACTTCATTAATAGAAACATACTTTTCTGCCGTTTTTCTATTGAAGCGAAACATGAAACCACTTAGAACTCTGCAGCGTGTCCAAACAACACGAACACAGATTTGTCGATAAAAACATCTGCCGAATCGTCTTCTTCTTGTTGATTAGCATGTTTAGCAAGTTAGCACGCGCCCCGTTTGTTTGTTTCCCCGTTTGCGGAGCCAGGAATTTTCTTCAGAACAAACAGCCAGCAGACCAGCGAGGAAAAAAAAATTTCACAATCAACTGTAATCGGTTGGATTAGCAACACCCAACCTTTAATAAAGCAATAAAGACAAAACAGATCCCTGTGTAAATATGTCTGTGGCTTGGTCAAGTTGTGCCACAGACACATTTCAGTCGGGATGCATTGTGCAAGCATTTCGGCTCATTAATCGGTTCAATGTGACACAAGCAGAGTTGGTTAGTTCAGCCGCTCCCTGGTCGTAAACAAGCTCCCTGACGTTTTAATAAACATCCTGGTTACTTTTCGGTGGAAGTGGCATCGGAAATCCTCCTAGGTTCAATCCAGTAACATTTACATATAGCTTATATGTACAAGCAATTTGGGGGAAGGCTTTGTCAGCAACAAAATTGCTCCAAAATCCTTCCTCGCTCACGTTACTTGACAATTTTACATCTTACACAAGCTGATAAAAAAACAAAACAACTCGACTGTGATGAAGACAAAAAAGCTCCGACTCATGTGAACCATCACGATAAATGTAGTGGGAGCTGAAGTTTGTTGCTTCCAGCTGTTTGTAGGACTTCTTAGCGTTTTAAATATCTGCAGCAGGATCCATACCAATAACTCCAAAGCTCCATGCATTTAGGCACGAGGAACAAGCAAGGTGGCTTCATTAATTACTTAGAAATGCAAATTATCCTCGACATGGAAACAGGATCTGACAGCGAGTCACAGTGAATTTGGTGTGACAAGTATCATACATGTGCCACAGCGTTCTCCATCACCGTCGTGGGAAGCTGTGAGGAATGTAAAAGTCCTACGCTGTCACTTTAAAAGATGTTGTGGGTTGTGTTGCTTTTGAAATCAAAAGGTTAAATGCTGTTCTTAATCACATATCTCCATCCATCCATTATCTATACATCGCTTAATCCTCACTAGGGTCACGGGGGGGCTGGACTCTATCCCAGCCGACTTAGGGTGAAGGCAGAGGACACCCTGGACAGGTAACCAGTCTATCACAGGGCTACACTTAGAGACAGACAACCAAGCACACTCACATTCACACCTACAGACAATTTAGAATCACCAATTAACCTCAACATGTTTCTGGACTGTGTGGGAGGAAGCCGGAGAACCCGGAGAGAACCCACGCTGCACGGGGAGAACATGCAAACTCCACGCAGAAAGATTCCGGTGCCCCCACCGGGACGCGAACCGGCAACCTTCTTGCTGCGAGGCAACAGTGCTACCAACTGCGCCACTAATCACATATCTGATGTTTTTAAATATCCTGCACAGGACCCAAAAAAAAGTCAGTTTTATCTGTTCTTTTTTAAAACAAAATGTTCTGTAATGACTCTCAGTTTGCCTCAAAATATTTTGGACCGAAATGACAAGATGGCTCGGTCGCTCGCACAAAAATTACACGTTGGACCCGCGTCAAAGACTCCCACGCAATTGGCAGCGCGCGACGCGTCTGAGGGGAAGCAGCGAGCGTCAGGCGAACTACAAGATTAAATAACGTGTTAACACGGACGGTTAAGTGAGATGCCCTCCAAGACTGCCGTCACGAGTAAGCGAAGGCGACAGGCGGAGCGCGTTGACGACCGAGCTGGCGGCGAACGGACTCTCATTGGTGCTCTGTTTTTTGTCAATATTGCCGCTTCCTCTTGTTTCGGTCCCAGACTCCCCGGCTGCTTCCAACACCAACATCGGGTGCCCCTGATAATTTCCACATGAAATCAAACACCGTACCTCCGTTTGATACGTCACGCAACCAGGACGAGACAGAATTAAATGTTTGAATTGCAGTCTCCAAAGCAACTAGTCTTTTTTGCTAACAAAGACGCTCATGTGATCACTCCGACCAAACCTCCTGCACGACAACCAACAGCGAGAGGAAACAACCGGAGGCCTTTTGTTGTCGTTCGCGTTTCAATAAAGTTGTGTCAGACTCGGTTGGAAGAAAGAAGCTTCAAGCTGCAGAAAAGTGTCCCTGCAATAACCACATCCTTTCTCTCTCCTCCAGCCAGCGAGTCCATCATCATTCCAGTTGTGGTTTTAAATTTTGTCCACACGATGGGAGCCAGCTTGGACAATAGACAGGGTTTGTTATGGTTAAGCTTTTCTTCTACTTCTGACAATCTATTACAACAGCTGCTTTCGGGTTAATTTGGCATCAGGAACAGAGAGTTTGGCAAAACAGTAACCGAGTTATCTTCGACTCGCAGGAAACAAAGAAATCCAAACAGCGCGTGCTTGACGTGTAGGTATCTGAGCACAATCAGAAACATGAGGCCCCATTGATCTTTTAAAGATGCACCTGGAAGGTTGCAGAAAACATTATTCGTGTTTTTCTTCACTCTGTCCGCTCTGTTTTGGAGACGCTCCGCGGTCGTGCTGAAAGCAATCTGGAATCATTTTCGGCCGCAAAGAACACAACGCAGTAAATGAGCTGTTTATGGATTTAGACAAAAAGAGAGAGAGAGAGAAAAAAAGAAAAAGGTCTCAGTGGAGAGATAGAAACTTACAGAAAGAGGAAGAGAGAGAAAGGAAAAGTGGGCTTTGGGTAAAGTGGGTCTGAAATGTGACAGGATGCTGGTTAGTCAAAGGATCAAATATGACTTTGAGGTTAAGTTCATAAACATCCACATAAAGGATCGATGCGCCTAAAATTTCACTTTTGCCAGAGGGGACCTTTTTGTGGAAATCTCACCTTTATTGGATAGTTGCAGAAGAGAGAGAGAGGATATGTAGGGAGAGAGAAAGAGGACATGTAGGGAGGGTTCAGGTTTGTTAGGAATCAAACCAGAGAGTCACTTCTTGAAGGCATCTGATGTGCAACCCAACCTCCCTGACTTTTAAAAAGAACTGAGTGTGAAACTTTCCTCTTAGAACAACATATAAAAGGTCCTGGAGTTCTTAAAATCAATTCCTTGTGGTGATTTCAGTGAGATTTTAAAGAATCTCCACAACAGGCATCAGAATTAAATGCTCAAGGAAACCAGCTGGTGCTTTTCTTTTAGACGCCCTGTAATAAAAGTCCTGTCTTTTTTACCTTGTTATCATGTCCACCTGGTGTGTGCTTTTACATGCAGGAAGATTCACCCTGAAGGATGTGAGTAGTAAAAACCATGGTAGAGCATTTCCAGCTTCATACTGCTGTGTGCCAATGACGGACTCAAAAACACTGTCTGGCTTTTTAAAATTTCAGCTTAAACATTTTTTTTTTTGCTCTGCCATCCGTGGTTTTATCTGTTTAGGGATTTTGTAAGGGCTTCAGGGCTTACAATGATCATTTTTATTGTGTTTTGATGTTGTTTTATGTGATTTTGCATACATTGGGTTTTGCAATTTTAAATTTTGTTGGCTTGTTTAGTGTTTTTATTCTCTTTAAAAGGCCAATTCATACTTTCAACATCTACATATCTGCAAGCATCTTTATGCGTCCACGAGGAAACGTGACGTAATTTTGTCTATTGCAGTTTAAACAGATCTCCATGTATCAGTCATGCGGACATCATGAATTGGCTTTTATGTTGTGCTTAACGTGATCATTGCTCGCAATGTGAAGCAACTTTTTTGTGACACAGAAATCCATCCATCCATCATCTATACACCACTTAATCCTCATTAGGGTCGTGGGGGGCTGGAGTCTATCCCAGCTGACTCAGGGTGAAGGCAGGTTCACCTGGACAGGTAACCAGTCTATCACAGGGCTACACTTAGAGACAGACAACCAAGCACACTCACATTCACACCTACGGACAATTTAGAATCACCAATTAACCTCAACATGTTTTTGGACTTGTGGGAGGAAGCCGGAGAACCCGGAGAGAACCCACGCTGCACGGGGAGAACATGGAGACTCCAGGAAGAAAGATCCTAGTGAGGTTAATGTAGTTGCTACAAAATGCTTTAACTCTTCTTTGTAATATGTCACACTTGTCTGCATATATTGAATGATGCTTAATGCTGCCTACTTAGCTGCATCTCCCTTGAAAATCTGATTTTAAACTAAACTTCCACCTGGTTAAATTACAAAGAATGGAAAGGCTTAACAGGAAGTTCCTAAATTGTCCATCTCACTTATTCGTGTGTGAGTTTAAAGCTCACAGGACAGAGACACAGCAACTGAAAGTGAAGCTGTCAAAAGTGTGCGACTACTCTTCTAATCAGCAGAAAATCTAATTTGAATGCTTTTTTAAACGTTTGCTGGTGTTCAGCATCAAAATGTAGGATTACACACTGGAACCGGGCTGCGATACTTTTCCATACGTGCCGCGATGTTTGCCTGTTTTCTGCAAATGTTTAGGGGGGCTGGCAATTGTCAAATTCATTTTCCATATTTTTCCAGACATTCCAAACCCGAAAAGGAGCCCCCGTCTAATAAAAGGTTTTCCTCTCAGCCTCTGGTCCTCCCTTGCAGACTAGTTGGTCTGGGCAGGATGTGCTCAGAACCCAATACTGAGGGGGACGGGGCAGAAATTTGCGTCACATAGCTCACATATGGTATAGTATTAGTTTGTGAGGGGAGTAGGTTGGGTTTCGGAGTCTGTGGCAGAAAGCCTGTGAGAGGAACATGTTGTTCCAGTACCTGCCTCGGGGATTCAGCAGAACTCTACAACTTTCTAAAATTAGTCCGCGGTGCCGTGAGCCAAGCGCTGGAACCAGTGGAACCAGTAAGTAATGAAAGAACAGGGTCAGTGAGTTTCATTAAATGATACTCGCATACATTAAACAGAAACCATGCTCCACTTCTTTTACCTGTCAGGAGGCCAAAGAAGCGCTTGCAGCGTACACTGTCTCTCACGAGCAGGGTGTAGGCCACGCCGCTATCTCCGTACTCCATGTGGATGCTCTGAGAGCCCAGCCCCACCTCCAGGTAGCTGAGCTCCATGATTGGGTAGCTGTCCTTCTTCTGAAGCCAATCAGTGAGCTGGACTCTGTTGGGAGGAAACAACGTGATGCATCGAGCAGTGCAGAAAATGTGCTGTCACAATAAGATGGATTAAACTTGATCTGTGATACCTGGAGGCATCACCGGGACACTCAGTCGTGGCAGTGACTTAAAACACTGCCTCACTGCTGAAAGGTTAAACCCGTAATAACAGTCTGGGTTCCTGCACTCGGCAGAAGAAGCAGGAGAACTCGGCTAATATGCTCGACATCAAAGCAACTTGGAAGTAATTTTCTAAGTGCGTCACAGCAAGTGCTCGTGTCTGAGGGAAGTCGATCCTGTTTGGATGGCCGAGAACATTTTCTCTTTTGTGACGGAGGAGAGAAAAAAGATGAAAGGGCCGAAAGCGAGCAGAGGGAGAAAAGATTCCACAGACACTTTGAGGTCAATGTGTTTTCAAGATGTGACCCAGAAACCTGGGCAGGTTATGCAATATTATTCACATCCTAAACAGAGGGTGCTGACTTTTTTTTTCACCAACATAGAAAGTCATAATTGTTCACTGCAGTGTGGCGCCCTCTTTTGAATCCCTCCATCAGTATGACTCTTTTTTTTTTTTTTTTTTTTTTTTAATAACTGGGTTGTCTCATACCTCCCAGATGTATACTTCCATGGAGGAGCTATCTTGAACCCTACCTAAATTTAAGCATTCATTTATTTGATCTTATATCTTGTTTTTGGTTTTGAGGTAAAGCAGCTCTTTGTGAGACACTAGAGGAAAAAACACTTTTTTTAAAATGCAATGGTCATTTTTGAGATTCCCATTTTGCTTTCATCACATGTCATCTTTCAAACAACTGGAAAGAAAGTGTTGGAAATACACATTAAAGTGCTCATTTGTTCCACTTAGTCTTTTGGGCATGTAAATTAGACATTACTTAATGACATAAATTGCATAATTAAACACAACATTTCAGTCTGAATGTGTCTGTAATGTACATATCTATTACTTTACTTGTTTTTAACCTGTGAATAGTGGCAAAAGTTCATAATATTTACCTTTAAAAGTAGTTTTTTCCCTCCTCCCAAGCCAGAAATCTCTTCTTCAGTAGAACTTACAGACACCAAACTTTCTAGTTTTATTCTTAGCCATAGTCTCAAGATTTCTATAAAAGTGTTTGTTCAAAAACTGATTTTTTTGCTGGTTGTTTTTTTGATTTGCTGATTTGAAATCCCCTCAAAAAAAAAAACATTTAACTTTTAAAAGGCAAAATTACATCATTTATCAACTTATTTTTAATGCCTGAACTGAAACTTGCTCTCAATAAATTTTCTAAAAAACAAGAAAACACTCTGTTCTCTCGCATACTTGTGATGCTTTTAGTGACTCGGCTGCGACCAACAAAAATTCAAGGACTTTCAGGCTGAGCTGCAGGCTGTGTTTACACAGAGCAGATAGGAGACAAGTAGGTAAACAAATTAAAATCAAAGCAGTAAAATACTGATAATATGTGGAGTCACCGTTTGTTTCCAGTAATGTAAGACCTGCGGGGACATGGAAACACTTTTTACTTTTTTTGTTAATTCAATAAAATCCATGCATAGGTGTTGGAATGGGTGTTGAGCTTTGGGAAATTTTCCTCTTGTTGGTCTCATAGCTCCCTGGCTGTTGTTTTTTGTACAGATTAAACATCCATCCATCATCTATACACCGTCTAATCCTCACCAGGGTCACGGGGGACTGGAGCCTATCCCAGCTGACTCAGGGTGGAGGCAGGAACAGATTAGACATTTATCACAAAATCTTTTAGGGTAATTTGAATATCCAGAAGTCTTAAACTGTTGTTCTGCCATCCTCACCATCCCTCCTGTTGAGACATGGCTCTGCCCATGGCTCACCATCGCTGCGTATTTGTGGAGAGAGGATGGGAGAACAAGTTTCCCTTCAGGTCACCTGAAGAGGTTGTCATCGTCTGGTTTGCAGTGGTGGTTATACCACTTGTGTTTTTCATTTTTTGGAGCGTTATTTTGCATTTCTCTTAGTAGTTCAGCATCTAGGGTGTCTGGTGTTAATAAAAATTGTTCTGTATATGTTTGTTGAGCTGCAAGTTTGGCTGTGTGGTCAGCTTTTGCATTGCCAATGGCAATAGGGTCTATGTTCGATTGCTTTTTTCTTAGGGAGTTGTAAAGCAGATAGGAGGTTCCTAATTAACTGTTGGTGGTTAATAGGTTTACCTGTAGAAGTAACCATACCTCTCCTGTTTCACTGTGCTGCAATGGTTTGCGTATTTTTTATGATTTATGGAATTCTAAGTTTATCATAATGTGCAACAGACATTTTTAAATTTCTCTCTACCTCCAGCCATAGTTGTATCATCGTTGTTGTATCACCACATGTACCATAGAAGTGCACAACTTTATATTGCATTGCACTGAAAAATGAGCCCACAGTGAGTGAACATGTGAGAGGAGCAGTAGATTTCAGAGGGGTAAAAAAAATATACATCAATAAAAAAACAACAGAGAGTACTAAATGCTTTCTGTATCCTGAAAAACTTGCCGTACTTACTGCTCATCTGATGTCATTTCCAGGAAATAGATTCGCTGGTTTGACACGACCAGCAGCGAGGGAACTTCCCCAGGCTCCCCAAATTTAACAGCTGACATCTGTAGGCCCAGAGAGAGAGAAAAAAAAAGGAGCACATATAGAGGAAATTTTGTTTAAAAAAAACTGCAGAAATAACTTCATCAGAGCTGCTTTCACACGTGAATACTGTCTTTTGCAGCATTAAAACTCGGAGCAATGCATTCAAACAATAAACTGGATCTGTTACCAAAACCGCACGCCCAGATGAAACCACTTTTCACAAGTTTTTAGAAGTTTCAAAAACAACCCTGTAGACCGAGGTCCTGCTCGCATGTCCTCTAAAATAACGCGGGACAACAAATGGAGCGGCCCCCGTCACTGAGTAAATAAACACCAGCGAGATGAATGGAGCGGGACCTCCTGTTTCCAGCTGTGGTTTGCTCGGTCCTGTTCCGCTCTTTGCTCTTCATCCAGGTGTCGCGCAGAGAAAAGCAGTGGCCTGCTGATTTAAAGAGCTCCCAGGATGCATTGCATATTAAAGAGCTCTCAGAGAACGTTCAGCAAACTAGTCACAGGAACTGCAGAGGGAGATGAGCCGAGCCTGGGAGATTTACTGACAGTGTTCGTGTTGGCTGACTCGACGAAACCGCAGATGAAGTCGAATAGATCTTAAAGTTGTCACCACCCATTACGCTGGAATTTCGGGGCCATCGGGGAGATAGGTTAAAGGACATTTTCAAAACCGCAATTGCAAAATAAACAATAACACCAACACAAAAACACTGTACTGCTTAATTTGAGCCATCACTTCTGCTTAAAGACAGGGTCTGGATGTAATGCTGTCAGTTTCCTGCCTTAATATTAACTCCAGTAAACATTTAAAGACCCTGAAAACATCTGTTTCTTACTGCAGATGATTAAGTCTGACATGAACATGCAATGAGAATATGGAGAAAGGAAAGTTTTAAGAGATTTCATACATGTGTGTCTCACTCTTGCTGACCTTGAGGAAAGAATGAAGCTCCTCTTCCTCCTCGAAGACCTCCACATCCAGGAAGAGCTTCAGCCGGTGGTCCACGGCCTCGTAGTCCTCAGACAGAAGGTCCAAATCACCTACAAACACATCAACAGTTAGTCAGCATTTAGTCGGTTACTCGAACACAATAACCAAACCAAAAGCGGTGTTCAAACCACTGAATCTCAAGCAGCTTCTGTGTCTTTTATTGTTCGTGACACTTTTTTTTTCAACTGTAATTTAAAGTCCTGCACCTCTATGGAAACAGCAAA